CCCCAAAACCCCAAAACCCCAAAACCCCAAAACCCCAATCTATGGATATTTAGTTGAGTCAGCAAAATTAGGAAGAGTCTGCCTCCATTTCTGAACTCATGCTTTCTGAAAAGCTGCTTCTAGGATAGAAAATAGAGCCTTGGTTCGAAGGCTCTCCTTCATGAGAACGGGGGATTGGAAAGTCTTGCGACGAGTGAATGCTTGGTGGGTGATCAGGATGTTGCACAGGAGCACTAGGATCATTATGAGCTTGCAGTAGACCTGGTTGGATAGGATTAGCAGGAGGGTCATTAGGTTGACTAGCAGCTCGGTTATTAACAGGAGCAATAGGATCATATGGCTCATTAACTTCAATCTGATGTGGTGAAAGGCTTTGAGAGGTATAAATGCTTGATGAAGGCTCATAGCTTTCAGACGAATCTCTCCTGCTCTGAACTGTTCTATCAGCTTCCTTTCTTTCTTCAGATATATTAGAGGCTTCTTCAAGTTTTCCCGGTGCTTTAAATTCCTCATTCTTCTTTTTGATTAAGGCTCCTCTACTATATTCGTCTCTGACGATATCAATGAAGTTCTTCCTGCAGAGTGGACATGTCTTTTCTTTCTTCGACCAGCTATCGATACACTCCAAATGGAACATATGACCATGACTTTTGGGGTTTCAATGAAGCTCCATGATGTTCTCTCCAACCTCGAAGTCTTCCAATCAGACTCAGCAGCTTGGACATGCGTTGGTATCTTCCTCTGTGAACTTCCGGCTCCAATTCTTCATCATCATCTCAACTGAGAGTGTAGAGTCAAGTCTGAGGAACTTCTTCTGATGGTTGGCAGCATCCATGAATGCAAAAGCAAGATTTCTCATGTTCACTTGAAATCCTTCGCTACTTTGAACATTATTGGCATTATTCCTCTGAATTGCTAGTCTTTCCTCATTTTCAGGATCTATTTCGCTGAAGAGTTGTCTCGGTCGTTCTCCTGAATGAAAAATATTAGAGGTACGAATCTCATAATGCTAAACTGTTCATGGCGGAGTCATTAACCAAGGTAAACTTTGATTTTAAAGAATATGCAGTGAACTTGAAAATCTGCTAATTGATAAATTTACTGTACTCTCATTGAATGGAATTTGAAATTAACTTATGATGCATTCTTCACAAAACTACTGAGACTCTAACCTAGCTTGTTGTTTAAAGTACTTTTGTGTGAGTTACCTTCAAGATTATTAAAATTGTTATTGTCTTCTCTGGCATTGGCTACATTGATTGCATTTTCTAAATTCTCTCTCTCAATTGCTCGAGCGTTACCTTGATGATTTCTCTTACATTTGTTGAAAAGAGCAGTAAATCAATCTCCGATAATAACAAATGGAATCAAGATAAAGGAACAAATAATAGCTACCACATATTTAGTATCATGAAATATGAGAAGCAGGTTGACAACAGCGTAGAAATAACAGAAGAAGAATGCCAGCTCAAAATCTTGGAGATTTTTAATTGCTATAAAATATGCAATATTTCTTAGTAAGAAGAAAGTCCTTGCACCATTAATCCAAAAACTCCATTTTTCTTCAAACCTCTGAACTGTTGCCTTGAGTTTGTCCAAACAATCTGAGTTGAAGTAGAAGAGATCCCAGAGGAAAATCAGTCTGATGAAATTCAAGAAGCTATAACAATTAGATTATTAATGAAACCCTAGAACTCAAGAAGGATTTTGCTAAAGTAGAACTCTTGCTAGTAATTCAAAGAGGGAGTTCAAGCTTCCAAACTGAATTATTTTGCTTAATTTATTTGAAGAATCATACTGTTATTGACAAAGTTCTTAGTAATTTAGAAAATAAAATAGAGAATTTTGCCAAAAGAAGGATTTTTATGGAAATATATTAAAATGTTGAATTATTTTTGGACGCTCTAAGAAATTGATAAAAATATCCAGAATGTTAAGTCTAACAGCTTTAACCACTTACCCTTGATTGAAATTCAACAATTGAGGTATTTCTTCACCTTCAGCTCTACAGGTCACCGAGAAAACTATAAGTAAGCATCACCTCTATTCGTTCCTAATGCTTAGTCCTTGACCAAGCGTACTTACCAAACTGGTTATACAGTGTAATTGCCAGATGAACTAGCATCATAACGTATGGAATAAACATGCTGCCACTGTACTGGAAGGTGACTCTGAAAATATAGACATATCACATGACATAATGGAGGAAGACCCCCAACAGCATTGCCACTTTGCCTAAAGGCTTCATTTTTATTTATTTCTGTCTTCGTAATCTTAAGCGGGGTTTTGGGGTTTTGGGGTTTTGGGGCG